CCACTGGGCCAGATACAAAGGCAAGGCAGGCCAGATGTAGCTCGCAGGCCGTAGTTTGGGGACCCCTGTCCTAAAGTATCCAAGGTGGCTTACAGCATTAAAAGAAACGAAGTGGATTTGACGTGGAACTTTAAAATGCTTTGAAATTTTATTTAAGTAAAATTCAGCAGTATAAAAACAATTACACTTTCTTTTCTTTGCGAAGGCCATGTGCAGGGCTGATTTAAGGCTCTGATGGATCATGAGCAAAAATGCTACCATTTCCTCCTCCCTTACCTCCCACCTAAATAGGTCACATATCATGAACAATATAATACAGTATAACATAAATAAGACTGACTCGCTAAGGTAATCTTGGTAACAGTAAAAAAGTGAGCAATGTTTAGGTAAACAAATGAACAACATAGCAAAGAAAAGAAAGTCTAGCTTATGACCATGAGAAAGCCTTCAGTACTAGAAAACAAAAAGTGTATCCAAAGAAAAACCTGCAATAGAAATAAGAGTCTTGGTGCCAAAGGACTAAAGTGCTACCTCCCATTACAGTGCTAAAATAAACACTTTGTACATGTCAGTTTGCTGCTCAAAATGCAATTGGGAATCCAACAGGGATACAATAGTACAATATTGAATCCAGGCAATCTGGAGAAATCAAGCAGAGAAGTGCACTGCACAAGGTGCAAGGAAGATTGCTTTTAGTAGGACTGCCCTTACCACAAATAGGTTAAATGCAATATTATAAGTTTTCAAATAGAAAATAACATGTTCATTTTTTTTCTTGGTTTCTGTTTTGTAAATTCACTAATTATGTCTTCAGAATCAAGTTTCTTCAAAAAGTCACTCTCAATTGATATTTTTGTTAATCTTTTAAGGCGTCCTTGCATTGAAGAGTATAACACTGATTTTATAAGCTTCTGTTTTGAAAAGGAAAGCAAAGCGTGCTGCTTATATACCGCCCCATAGTGCTTCAAGGAACTCTCTCCTTCAGCCACAGAAATGTGTAATGTCAGGTAGAGATGAAAGGCAATATTGACATTTGGATAGACTGAGATGATGTTTCTTTATTGCAAGAATTTGCTATAGTATGCACTGTTTTGATGATCTTTGTCCTCTTTGCTGTTGCTGCTGGGAAGACAGCATTGTAGTAAACTCTAGAAAGCAACAACTTCATCTGTAAATGTGTTTTCCAAATCCTCCTCATAAGCTTGTTGTAGAGTAAATGCATGTTTTCTTAATTGTTCAACTGATATGAAAGCCAAGTCATCCCAAAAGCCAAACTTGCTGTTTATTGAAGAATGTTGTTCCCCTCTTTCATGCTGACAATTGACAAGTGTGTCAATAATTATATTATAAGTTTAAATTTGAAAACTTCTGCTTCTTTCTAGAAAAACGTCTTCAATCCTGGTTTTAAAAAAACGTGCTTTCTGTTATAGCTTTCATACTCATTATCAGGCAGGATAGTCTTAGCTGTTTTTCCCACATCTTGAAATTCATTTCTGAAACTTTAAACATATTTCACAAGTGAATCAAGCATGGTGGTTGTAGTGCCCAAGTGCAAGCTTCCTTGATTGCAAACACACACTTGTTTTATTAAACTGATTTAAAATTCTGCTCCATATGATGTACATGAAGATTTTTTTCCAATTTATTCATTTTTTAAGAAAGTGAAATCACTAGACATGTGTCATAATTTTCATCTGGATCATTTCCTACATGTATTTTGGAGACATCCAGTAATGTTGCAGCACTTCACTTTTAAAGCTTCATCAGCATTAGCATGGCTAGGCCAGCGAGGGTCTTCTAGCTGCTTCAAAAAAAGAACCTGTCTTTTTTCATTTGGTTTCAGATGCTCTAGAAGCAAAGACCAACAATGAGGCAAAGAAGAGAAAAAATTGAATAGTTTGTGAACCATAGAATTGTTTTTAACAGCACATGGACAGACACTAATAGCTTGTTGTCCAACCAGATTCAAAGAATGAGCAGTACATGGTGTATATTCTGCCAGTGGATTGATATTCTGAATGCATGTCTCCACTCCTTTATATTTTCCAGAGATATTACTAGCACTGTCATATGCCTGACTGCAACAGTCTTTAATATCTATATTGCAGTCTTATTGTACCAGCTAACAACAAATTGCAGAAATCTTTCCAGTGGTTCACCACTGTATCAGTGTAAAGATTATTTATTTATTGTCATTGTAAGTATATACAGAGTATACCCATACAATGAAATTCACAGACACATGTACACACATAAAATTCCCCATAAAATTAACTGGTCAAAGTGACTCGCATCAAGAGTGGAATCCATACATATTGAACAATACGTGGCCAATCTGACCTCCTTCACAACTGATTTTGAATTTTCATGCCCGTCAAATTAATAAATTATTCACAGACATATGACAGGTAAGAAGGATGGCCTTTGCCTTTCCTACCACACCTGTCAATATATGTATATAAAAAAGGGTCCCAGATAGTTTACATTGTTTGGGGATCAGAAGTTCAGAAGATTGGGGTGTATGAATGCTTCTATAGGTAAAATCCATCCTGGTATTTTTGTGTACATTTTCATTTCTATTTTTTCCCAGACTATGTACAATGAATTTCTAATATAATGGTTTTGAGAGTACCTGTGAGTTTTGGCTTTCTGGTACCATAAAAAGGCATGCCAACCCAACTGTAAGTCATGCCCCTCTAAATATAGGAGTCTTTTGTTTGTCATGTTTGAGACAGGAAATGTGGGGGCTTGCATAATCTTTTGGAGTTGTATAGAATGTGAAATGTATCCCTCATGACAGACTTCACTTAACCCATACCATAGTGTTAGTGGTGCAAAACATAAATAAACCATCTAACTTTTCAGGAAATTTTATGTATTGATTGAAGTATTTTATTTGGATTATTTTAAAGATAGCCCAACCAAGTTCTGTACAAACAAAAGAGCAACTGGCAGATGTTCCCTTTTGGCATCAACCTCTTGAAAAAAGCATGCATTGTGGTTTAGAAGGAGGAGCTTTTAGGGTAGCCAGACGGGACTCTCTGGAACATTGACAAGCCATCATGTGAAGACCTTTGGAAACCCACTCCCTGAAAAGCCTACTTTTCTAAACCTGTATACAACTCCCCTTGCTCCAGATTTTCGACGTCGGCTGGCCTGACCTTCATGCCCCACCACTTAATAAGATATGCACCATTTGCAAGGCTATGGAATCCTGGCTGAACTGCAACTCTCAGCATGTGGTGGTGATTCATTGTCGAGTGAGTGAACAGATATTTCCATTTTACTCACCACATTATAATCAGAAATCCTCTGGTATCTATTGTGGGTTGATTCTCAGATTGTAGGTATTACTTAAAATACGCCTTCAGCTCCAATGAGTGGATGAGGAAATAAATATTTTACTAAACCCACTCTTTGCCCACCTATATTACTGGAGAAAAGGACATTGCAACTGTTCAAGCCATTTGCAGTTGCTTGCATAGTCTCTGTGTGGAGTCAATGCATTATATAGCTGATAGATTATTATGATCTCAGCTGGGTTATGGGCCTGTTTATATATAATGGATTACAATCTTAATTAGGCGAAACTCAGCATAGGATGAAACCCTGTCATTCTGCATGTGATCATGAGCTCCACAATTGAGTTCTAGCTTTAGATTTTTTTAAAAAAAACACATAGTTTGAAGAAAATATTTCTTTAAAAAACCTTCTGAACAAGTTTTGTAATGGCCAAGGAGCTTATGTTTGGTATGGGAAGTTATATTTTAAATAGCTCTTTAACGCCATCATTTTGGTTTTTTAGCCATTTTAAAAATTCATTTTCAAGCAGCTGCAGGCGTCCCACCCCATTCTTGTCAGATACATTTGCTGAGTAATTCTGCAACAATCTATGTCTAGTGCAGGGGTCTCAAACTCAGTTTACCTGGGGGCCGCTGGAGGCAGAATCTGGGTGAGGCTGGGCCACATCAGATTTTCCGCCAAGTGGAGCAAGAGCCCGAGGAAACCACCCAGGATTTTCCTTAGCCCGGCTGGGACTCTGAGGAGGAGGAGGGGCGTGTGAACCCTCGTTGCCAGCCACGAAACCCTCCAGCTCCTTCTTCACTACCAGCAGCAGCAGCAGCAGGACGAAGTGGAGAAAGGAGGGAGCACTGGCAACCGCCTAGCGGGGTGGGGAGGAGGGCAAGACATATTTTTTTAAAAAACCGTCACAGAATTCTCCTTGCCAAAGGAGAAAAGCCCCCACCGGTACCTGCAAAATTAAACAGAATGGGGCGGGGGCCCCACAGGTGTTCTTGACAGCAGAGGACGCATGGGCACTTTGGGGGGGCAGGCAAGTCAGGGGCCATAAACTATCATCCAGCGGGCCGCAAATGGCCCCCAGGCCATATGCTTGAGACCCCTGGTCTAGTGGGAGTTACTTATCAGTATTTTGTATTGTGGTGTACATATGGATACAGTAATGGACTAGAATTTAAGAGACTTGGTTTGAATCTCCACTCAGCCATGAAAACCTGCTGGAGGCTGTGGAACTAGTGAAACTACTTAAATACCTCATTTACTTTAAAAGACCTGTTAGGGTCACTATTTGTTGGTTCTGACTTGATGGCACATAACAATAACACACAAAACTATTAACAAAGAAAATCAAACACAGTTTCAGTAGCACTGTGTCAGAATGTTTCTTCATTTCTTTTCTCCTTTATTCTAAGAAAAGACTAGATGTCTGCCATTTCTGTCATGGTGTACTAAATATATATGTGTGCTTTGAAAAAGAGATGTATTCCAACAAGTATCACTACTTAGTTCCTTCTAATAACTACACTTCTTAGCAGCAATGACTGCATTTAATCAGTGTTTTCTGTGATTCAAAATGTTATTAAATATATAACATGAGGTCTGGATAACTCAATGGTATAGATACCTGGCTGCAGAACCAGAGATTGGGGGTTCGATTCCCCGCTCTGCCTCCTTGATAGGGACTGGACTTGATAATTCACAGCGTACCTTCCAGCTCTGAAGTTCTAAAATTAAGATTTTAGGATTTGCAAACCTAATAGGGCTTTCAAGGTGAGATATTTAAGGAGTGGCTTTACCAGTTCTATACTCTCAGTGAGTTTTCATGGCTGAGTGGAGTTATCAACCTAGATCTCCTGAGTCCTAGTCTGCCTCTCTATCCACTACACCACACTGGGTATTTATAGTTTTGTGTAGATATTTAAAAATAATTTGTAATGAAAACCATGCAGTTCTAAGAAGTGGTTACAAGTGAATCTCAGAGGTGTCTTAACTTATCATTATAGGAGTAAACGGAGAAAATAAAATGCAGTTTGCTTTTCTGTTTACAGGGTGGGAAAGGAAGAATGGGAGTAGTGATATCATCATATATGCACTTCACAAATGCATCTGCAAGGTAAGATGAACCATGTATACTTCTTCCATATATTTTAAGGACAAAGTGATGAGATAGGATGATTAATGGGGTTTTTTGACAACTTCTTAGGCTGCCTTCAATCAGGTTGTGTCTTGATGACTTAGAAATCATTTATAGTAGCCACATAAACATAAAATGCATTTTTAAAGCAGTTAATATTTAGATCAATAAAGCCTCCTGGGGCAATACAGTGGAGGAGCAGGAGAAGGCCCCTATAGGTCCTGGCCCACCACCCTGACCCCACTTGGGAACAATGGGATGAACAACTGCTCATCTTATACACAAGACCCCTTTGTCTCCCAGCCAAGAGGACTGATTCAGTCCACACCTCTTTTGATTAAACATTGCTTCCGTAGGTATTCACAGGCAATTCACTATCCCCTTAATTTTTATTTGCCCTGAAAAGCACCCTAAAATTGGCTCAAAATATGCTCCTGTGACTTTCATATTTCCATGAGAGAATAGAAGATCGGCAGATAAAGCTCAATTTGTTTCCTGCAGTGGTATTACAGGGAAGAGTATGCATTTGCTAATCTGTTTTAACCATACACCTGTTAAAAATCAAGAGGGTAAGGTGTAAGAATATGACGAGCCTACATAGAATACTGTGCTATGATTTTAATTTTAGTTCATTCCAGAACCAATGTCAGAAGGATGGCTCATATCAGAGGTGGGGTGGATTTTTCTTATGCTCAAGAAAAAATTTTTACATGAATATCATTAAGTTTTAAAAAGGTCAGATTACATATGTAGCAAGATGTTTTTAATTTTTAAATGCAGCAAGTAACTGCTCTTTCAAAGGCAAAATTCATATGTTATCAGACTCATAATCTGTATGAAAGGGATAGAATTATAATGATGGGATGAGTAAAAAAAAGTTGTGGTGTCTTAATTTGTTTATCAGTCGTTTTCCCAATTAAAATGTTCCCCAAGGCAACTATTGCAAATATGTCCATGTTAGAATATTCATGTCCCATCAGATTTGGAACTCAATGCATTTGCCAATTACCACAGAACATTTTTTTGTTGTTGTTTGGCAGAGTTCACAGTATTATAAACTCTGTTTGCAAGGTTACTCCGCACAATGTTTTGTATTTTCTTTTTCTCACACAACAGTGCAGATCAAGCCCTAGACAGATTCGCTATGAAGAAATTCTTTGATGATAAAGTTTCTGCTTTAATGCAACCATCCCAGAAAAGGTATTTTAATCTGTTTTTTAAAAATTTTTATTGTTGTGTAGACAAATACCATACCTGGTTCCCCTTCACTGCAAACAGAGCTATTTCCTGAGTTCTCTATTCTTTCAACACTTCTTCCACCATCCTTCTTTTATTGATAGTGTTTCTTTTTCTTTAGATTCACATAAAGCAAGCACATGTGTATTGTGAATAAGAGCTTTTAAAAGATAAAGGTATGGTTGTATTTCTCACTAGAATTTGGGGGTGTTTGGCAACAGAATCATATCAGCTTAGTTTATTATCATTTACATATATCTGAGGGCATGATCACACAGTGGAATTTTTTCCCTACTTATGCCCAGGTTAGATCATAGCAGAAATTTCCAGTCACATGACACACAGTGATTAGCAATTCATTTTACTGGCTAGCAGTGTAACTATGGTTCAATTCTTGTTTTTTGTTCTGGTGACATTTTGATATATTTCTTAGCAGTGTGGCATGTGTGTATGATCCTGTTGATAATTTTTTTTGAAGTAAATTCATTAACATGGTGTAACTGACCATAACAATTCAAATGGAAGAAAATGAATCAGTAACATTAAAAGACATTGGAATGCTCATCGAAGTATATATACCACATGACCACGATGCATTACGAGAAAGGTATGGAAAGTGTTGTTAGAAGTGGGTAACATTTCCTTGGTGTAACTGTGGCCTAATGCGGGAAATGTAATATGTATTTCATTTTTAAAGCAACTGTCTTTCTCCTCTTCTGAAGAAGTGGCCCTAGGCAGTTGAGCACACTAGAAGAAATTATTAAATTGTGCTATTTTTCCTGCCCTTCAACATGTTCTAAAACATCAGATCCTTGCCGACTTCCAGAGCTAATTCTTCATATTCATAAGACTGTGCCAGTCTGATAGTCTTTCCATTAGCTCTGAGTTTTCTAGTTCACTTTTTGCTCAGTGTGCTTCTTAAAGAACTCTGATCTTTGATTTTCTGATTCTGTTCACTGATCCATCTTCACCCTCGATTGGTCCAACTGACTTTCTTATCAGTCTATGCATTATCACAACATTCCCTCCTTTTGTCTCCTTTTGTTCCTCCTAAATAAGTCTGTAATGCTAGGGATTCATAACCATTGCCTTGTGGTAAATCTCAGTTTAAAATGACTTTTAAATAAAGTTCAACAGATGGTTAATGTCTTTTGGGTTTATATTTGGTCAAATTCTTGCTGCTCAGGCAAATACATGTCTACTATGTCAGATTGCATGCAGAGACACATAGTGAAGAAAAAAAAGAAATTCTATGCAAAATTGACATGTTGCTGAGGAGAATTTCAATCTAGCCTTTTAGCCTTTAGTACTGAACTTAGCACTTCAGATAACTATAGGAAACATGAACTTCATAGAGGTAGTTGCCATGGGTTATCAGAAAGCTAACAGGCCTTGAGGGGATATAACTTGAAAAGGATTAAATTAGTATGCCTTTGAATAGCAGATTAGAAGAAGAAGCATCTTTGGACAACTGACTTGCAGTTTTATACTCACACTAAATGATGGGAAAAAGAGAAAGAGATCAGCCCAACAGCTTGATTTTGAAACCTAGTTACCTATCACTTTTAAGAAAAAGCATACAGCAATTTCAGGACTTGTTTAAAGAATGAAGGCCCTGCCAGCAATTGAGAAAACAGGGTTTTTTTTTGCACAAAGCCAGGTCAGGCATACATGTTTGTCTCTTGCTGGATAAAAATTTTTCCCAGTAAGCTGCTTTGTTTCTCTGGAGACCTTTGCAGCTGCTATTGACAAGGAAAAAAAACAACTCATTCTCCTGAGGCTTTACAATCTGATAAATATTTAGCTCGGGAGAACAACTTTCCCATTCAGCTCTAAGTCTGCAAATAAGGATAGCATTATTAAAAGTTTCTCGTTGTGTGTGATGTTTGTAAATTTCATTTCAAAGAGCACAGATGAGTGGCACTGGGTGACTGAACAGATGAAAATGTTCTTAATGGCTGTTTTCGTATGGTTTCTACAGTCTAAGCTATTTCTAACAGCCTTTCTGATTCACAAACAAACTTCTGTGAGAACCAGAAGACCTTGGAATTGAATTTGCCTCCACTGCATTTATTGTAGTCATGGAGACCAGATGTGGCAAAATGTTTCACACTACATGTTCTGACACTGCCATTCACTTACATTTCTTTGAGTGAACTGGGAGAAAATCTCTGTGAGTGCTAAATATATAAAATTTTAGGGTCATCATTGTTGTTTTTAAGGATACAGCACCTACAGATGTTTATATTTGTATCCAGCATGTTGCATTCAGTCCCACATTATATGGTCTAATGTCTGGTCTTTCTGACCCAGTAATAAGGGCCCTTATTACATGGGAGTGGACCTTGAATTCAACCATGCCATATGACTGCATTGTTCATTCCATCAATGTGGGATTGCTCTGGAAAGACACATTCCCATTTTTTCCTGCATATATGAAGGGGGCCTTAATGTATCCTGCTACTTTCCATAAGATAGTTATGTAACAATCTGTCCCCCCTTTTTTTTCAAAACTGATGGTCTTTGTGGCTCCTTATCACTTATGATCCACATGACCATCCCTTGACAGATTTTTAAATAGCATAATATAGATTATTCACTCATAATAGAGTGTTATGGGTGAAACTGTCACCATTCTTTTGCTTTCCTCAAAATAAACTATAAGAAGAACTTTCCTCATAGTTTGTGTTTGTGTTAATTAACCTGTTTTTCCTTTTAGGTATGTGCAATTTCTGAGTGGCCTTCTGTCTGGATCTGTCAAAATGAACACAAATCCTCTTTTCTTGCATTATGTTATCCTGCATGAAATTCCAAATTTTGATGTTGACGGAGGTGCGTTTATTATTCTGTCTGCAGTCACATTTACACCTAGTTATTTATTTCAACAAGACACACACACACACACACACACACACACAAAGGGGGGATAGATGTGGTGATACTGGGTAAATGTATGTTAAATCATCAATTTATTAAGTCCAGTGGATAAGATTAAAGCTAAAAAGCTGGAAGATCACCTATTTATCATTGTTAGGCAAGATAGGACTCATGAAAAAGTTAATTGAAGCAAAAGCATCATCATCAATCTTTATTATGGTCACAGAGCAGCAAGATTATTAAAAAAAACATACAAAACATACAGAGAAAAACTCCTATATGTAGTATATAAAACGTTATTTCAGGGTAATTTCAACATCTCCTCTTGAGTTCTCATAGCAATCAACAAAAATTTAGACACCTTGTCAGTAATATAAGTGAAACTTTTGGGAACCCTCTATTTTCTCCTTTTCTGTGATTCTGGCTCACCCAGACTTATACTTTCTGGATAAAATACTGCAATTTCAAGAATGGAAGGAGAGTTTTTTCTGATCAGATCAGAATTAATAAACCAGCCTAGTAGGTTAAACCCTACTTGGTTTCAGAAAATCCAAATCCTCTCTTTTGCTCAACACTTACAATCACAAATTATTTGTGTATTTGAGAATCTTTGTGTAATACAAACAAACAGCATTCAATGCTGGTATCACAGATAACTGAGGCAACTTATAACTCTTCAATTTGTGCTGGATTGATTTGGGAAGCCAACTGACAAATGGAATGTCCTGTTCCAAACAGAGATTGAATTTGGTCCTCCTTGACTTTAAGACTCAGATTGGTATCGTTAAAAGAAAACATATTAAAAGGAACACACAAATGTTGTCAGTGTTCTGTAAAGTTTTTCAAGTTACGTAAGCTATGGTAACTCACAGAGGCTGGGTTAACCATGGTAAACTCCTCATTGAATATCTTGAGTATTTTCAAAACCTAGTGGGGTCACTGTAAGTTGGAAGCAGCTTGATAGCACATAACAGAAATAACATTAAATTATTTTTTGAAAATACCTAATAAATAACTCATTAATTAATAAATTACTTAATAAATAATTATGAAAAAAATAATTAATGTATAATTTTAGAAAAGATTATTCCTCCCCATATGTCAGACTGCCATTTTACAATATGGGATATTGTATAAAGTCACACACATATATACTAGAAATATGTAGTTTGTGTGGAATTCAGTTATAAAATGATGTTCTTTGTTTCCACTGATCTCAATTAGTACCTTAGTTTGTCATGTAACTTTTTCCCTCCCTCCCTCCCTTCCTTCCTTTTCTGGATAGATCCCCTTCATAATAGGAATTTATGGTGACTGTTTTAGCAATTGTATGTCTTGAGCATATGTTTTGATTGTGGGCTTGCTATAGACCTTTGGTTGGCCGTTCTAAGAACAGAATGCTAGACTGGCTCAAACTTTCTTCTAATTAAACATGGCTTGTCTTGTGTTCCTATGGTAAATGCAATTCCGCTGTTGAGAATAACCATAGCTTGCATACATTTCTCCTAGTATTATTTTGAATATTTCATTTCTTAAAACATCCATTATTGTATTTTTCTCAGGTTGTCAGCCCTTTCTAAAGTTATACCAGGCCATGCAACCAGTTTATACATCAGGAGTATAGTAAGTACACTCCAGTCCCAAATGTGTCTTTATTGTGGAAACCTAGCCATTCATAGATGCTGTATGTCATAACTCTTACAAACATTGCACTGTTTTAGAGTGTATATTATATGAACCACTTCTTTGAATCTTCTTATACCAAAACATACGGTGTATGTTGAAAACTGCTGTATGAAGGAGGTAAATAAATTATAAATTTTCTCTTTAAGGAGTTCGTTTTCTCTGTGCATAGAGGGCTTTTTAATTGTTGGTGGTAAAGCATTTTAAATATTTCATTTCCGCACCTACTATTGCAAGGGATCTGTACTATGTAACTCTTTTAAAAATGTAGTTTGGCTCTGAACTCTTTTCATTTATTGGATACGAATGCTATCTCTGTCGATCTTCTGAAACAGTTCTGCTCATCTGATTTTTCTTTTCTTTCTTCATCCTGAAGTAGCATGGGGCCAAAAAATCAAAGCAGAGTTTGCATTGCAGTTGAACCACCTCAGCTACTAAAGGGAGATATTATGGTGAGTGTTCCCCTAATTGCTGATGTTCCTTAGCATCTCTATTCAGATGGGTTTTCCACACACCCTTATCTTTCTAAAGAAACTATCCATAATGTACCTTGAGTTCTTTGTAGGACTTTCTGGTGTGTGTGGTCCTAATCTTTCTGGGGACTAATGTCCTTGTAGATACTGCACTGGACGAAATTTGTCATGGGAATTATTCAATAATAAAAGTAGCTTAGACAAAGAAGATATGCATTGGTGCTGAAGTAATTTCATTGTTTAAACCAGAAACCCTTCAATGGAAGACAGTGTCCGCTCCCTAAATGTTGTTTACTCTAATCAGAGCAAAGATTCTTGGGCTATTGAGAATGATCACTATCCTTTTCCTTAAATGCCCCACTGTTGGGGAAACAACTGTGCAATTGCCTTTATACAGGAATTTGTCTTGTAAGAAAGATAGAACTGCTGCTATTTCTTCCCTTGCCATAAAGTTAATGCCTCAATCCTAACTTCATGCGTATATGGTTGAATACTGAGTTTTGTGATGATAAACTGTCCATTGTATTAAACTAATACAATGATAAGCCCTGTCCAGAGACTTTGGAGTACTGTTCTCATCAGCTTCAGCCAGTATGGTAAGAAATTGAGGATTGTGAGAATTGTAGTCCAGAACATCTAGAGGGTTTCAGCTTGCCTACTCCTGAACTATTGCATTGTGTTTATAATGGAGATCCTAACAATATATAAAAAAATCTGTGTTAACTTACTAAGCACAATACTGGGAAGCCTAGAAAATTGTTCATAAGAAATGCTAAATATATTCACAGAGGTGCTTACTTCATATACTCCATACTTGTTGTGCTTAAAGTTTCCTTGAGTTTTATTGAAATTCTCACCACTTTTCTTCAGAAGCTAGTTTTGCCTTGGCAACAAACTGTCCATTGCTGCTGACCAAGATGCTTGTATACAAACTTGGTTTCCATTTTCTTTATCTAAGCACTAGTACTCAGTAGTACCAACAAGAAATCTGAAGTATAGAAAATTTGCATTCCATGCACCTTCAATGGAATACTTAATTCAAATCATTGTTATTTTTATTATATACTCACAAACTTCAGTCCAAGTAAACTTCCCAGGGAGAAAAAAATCTCTCCGGTAACAAGTTTGCACCTGTCTTTAAATGTTTTCAAAGCACAGACAATGCAGCTCTTAAACTTTTGTTCACAGTGACTCCTAAAGTAATAGTAGCCGACTAGTGTGGAATACAGGCAAGCCCCCGTAATTCATAAAAAACATGTAAAATCTATGTTAGCATTTAGGTTATTAGTTGTAAGTGATTTTAACCAAAAAATCCTACCAATTCCTGCTGTAGGAGATCTCTAGCCCTCACTTTTTCAATTTTTTTTCACTTATATATAAACCAAAAATAATAAAACTATTTATTTTTCCCCCACCCCCCACTCTGGAAGAGGCAAGATTCAAGAGATGGAATGAAACAGGGCCAAACTTTATTGATGGTAGAACTTCCTGAATACGTAACCCAATTCAAAACTTAAAAGGGGGCCTGCTGTAGTGCAGAATGCTGCTGGCAGCGGAAGTCTCCTAGGACCCCTTTTTATGACAATGGGCAAGTGTCCTGCCCTAAGGCCACGCAGTCCCAACAACAGCACAGCCTTGGCGGGCCATGATCTGATAACCCCTGGGCTTCTAGTCCCCCATCTATTGGTGGCCTTTTGCCCAGAAGTGTCCCCAGTACATCTTCCCCCCCAAACCGTAATCTCGCAATCCGTGGACACGCTGTACCTCACCTGTAATCCACAGGGAACTCACCAATCAATCTTCATTCCACACTACCCACGAGTGTGACCTGAAGCAACCACCCAGTAAAGTGCCCCAAACCCTATAGCAGTGTGGGATAGGTTAAAAAATCCCCGCTCACAACTGCCAGTCAGCAAGCGAGTCAAAAATTTCTTTCCAGGCCCAGAGGTGACCAGCAAAGCTCACACTAGCTATAAGGGCGGTCGGGTGGTTTGCAAGCCTTGAAAGAGGCTGATTGGAGGGAAGAGTGCCTGTTAAATAAGGCACTCCTGCCCCCTCCCATCTGCATAGCCGGGATGTGGGAAACCACATTTCATGCAATTCTGAAAGGGGGAGGCAAAGAGGCTCCCTTGCCCACAGAGTGTGCCATATGATCCATTTCTGTAAAGTGGCTAACTAATGACACTTCACTTGTTTTATTCCTTATTCATGACATGACTGATGTTCTTGCATTCTAATTTTTACTGGCCTTGTGATAGTACCCACATATATTTTTAAACTATCACAGATTATTAAGTAGAACACACTTATAGTTCGCAGGTACCTCTTTTTTACCCTTTTGGAAAATTGGGCAGACTATTAGCCTTCCTCCAACCATTTGGCACCTCACCCGTTTCCCATGATTTCAAGAAAATAATGGACAGTGGCTCTGTGAGTTCTTCAACCAATTCCTTCAGTACTCTCAGATGGAGTTCATCCAGCCGTGGAGATTTGAACTCATTCAAGGTGGTAAGATAATCCTTGACTATTTGTTTGTCAAGCTGCAATCCCATCCCCTCGTTTGAACTCATTCAAGATGGTAAGATATTCTTTGACTATTTGTTTGTCAATCTGCAGCTGCAATCCCATCTCCTCCACTTGCACTTCACATTTGTCTGGAAGTTTATAATCTGTCCTATGGGGAAAGACTGAACTAAAATAGAAATTGAGCACCTCTGCCTTTTCTTTGTCATCTGTTATCATTTTTCCATCTTCATTGTGGAGCTGTGCCACTATTTGTTTGTATTTTGCTTCTCACATACCTGAAGGTTGCTTTTTTTATTGCTTTTAGTGTCTCTAGCTAACCACAGCTCAGCCTCAGCTTTTACCCTCCTAATGCCATCCCTGCATTTCCTTTATATTTGTCAGTGCTCATCCTTGGTGGCCTGGCCTTCTTTCCACTTCCTGTGCATGTCTTTTTTGGTTTTTAGGTCCTCCCTGAGCTTTTAGTGAAGCCACACCGGCCTTTTTTGCCACTTCCCCTTTTTTCTTGTTGGAATTGTTTGTAGATCTGCCTTAAGAATTTTTTTAGAAGCTCCCACCCTTCTTGGACTCTTTTTCTTGTTAGGAAGGATCTCCTGCCATGCAACCTTACTTATCCTTGTTCTGATAAAATTGGCTTTTTAAAAATCCAGCAGAAGTGTACAGCTACACTCTGCTTTCATTTCCTTTGAAATCAAGAATTCTAGAAGGACATGGTCACTCTCACCTAGAGTGCCCCTTACTGCCACTTCCCTCACCAAGTCATCTCTTTTGGTCAGAATCAGGTCAAGGATAGCAAATCCCCTAGTTTCTTTCTCCACTTTTTGTAGGAGAAAATTATCAGCCACACAAGCCAGGAATTTCTTGGAAGGGCCATACTTGGCAGAATTTGCCTCCCAACATATATCTGGATACTTGACATCTCCCATCACTACTACATTGTATATCTTTGAAAACCCTGCAATGTTTTCGAATGTTTCGTCGCTTCTTCTCTTTGATTGAGTGGTTGGTAGTAGACTCCAACTACCAAGTTCCTTTTGTTTTTCCCCACACCTAGATTGATCCAGATTCTCTTGATGGGACAGTCAGTCTCCTCCCCCCCCCCCCGTCTTTTTTCAGGAATGCATATTTTTGACAGATACTGCAACTCCACCTCCCTTTTTATTCTCTCTGTTCTCTTTGAACAGTTTATATCCCTCAATTGCTGTTTTCCAGTCATGGGAGTCATCCCACCAAGTTTAAGTTATTCCTATCAAGTCATAGTTGCCAGCGGTTTAAACATTAATGGCTGTGTGTTACGTTATTTTGAGGGGACAGCACATTTACACCGTTATACAAGCCGTATACTCACTGCTTTACATTGTAGCCAAGTGTCTTTTCTAGAGCTCTTCCTTTAAGGACACCCGCCTCTCCTGTTCTCTTGAGCACAGGAGTGAGTATCCTGGGGTGAATTTTGATTTTAGATCTAAAGTGTTTTCAATGTGCTCAGCACCCAATGTTGTCTACTTAATAATCTGTGATGGTTTAAAAATATATGTGGGCACTACCACAAGGTCAGTAAAAATTAGAATACAAGAGCATCAGTCACACATTACTTTAGGAGTCACTGTGAAATAAGTTTATTAGCTGCATTATTTGTGCTTTGAAAACATTTAAAGACAGGTGCAAACTTGTTACTGGAGAAAGCTTTTTCTCCCTGGAAAGCTCACTTGGACTGAAGTTTGTGAGTATAAATTAGCAATAACTATGATTTGAATTAAGTATTTTTATTGTAGGTATATGAAATGTTAATGTGTATTCTCTGTACTTCAGATTCCTTGTTGCTAATACTGGGTCTTAGCACTTTGATAAAGAAAACAGAAACCAAGTTTATACGCAAGTGTCTTGGTCTGCAGTAGAGATGAGGGCTTCGTATTCGTATTTGCCCAATTACCTCCTGCCCCCAGAACCCGCTAGACCACTTATCGTGCAGCGTGTATGACCAGCATCATTTTCAGTGTCCCAATCATGGCAATAACCCAGCTGCTGCAGCTCCACCTCCCTGCTCACCCAGTCACTCCGCAGCTAAGCAAGGAAAATCAACCTCCTGCCCCCTTGCTGGGGTGGCTGGGCAAGTAGGGACTCAAGGCTGTGGCAGCTGGGCTTCTGCCACGATTGCAGCACTGAAGATGATGCTGGCCATGCATGCTGCATGCCACGTGGTGTCTAGCGGGTTTGGGGGGGGTAATCAGACCAGCCACATGGCCATGCATGCTGCATGCCACATGGTAAGTGTCTAGCGGGTTCGGGGGGGGGTAATCAGACCAGCCACCTGTGCCAACGGGCTTCATATTGGTATACAAATATGAAGACCCCCATCTCTAGTCAGCAGCAATACGGGCTTCATATTGATATACAAATATGAAGTCCCCATCTCTAGTCAGCAGCAATGGACCGTTTGTTAGCAAGAAACAAGGGCAGTTTGCCTCAAAGCAAAACTAGATTCTGAAGAAAAGTGGTGAGAATTTCAACAACACTCTCAAGGAAACTTCAAGCACAACAAGATACGAGCTATATGAAGTAAGCATCTCTCTGAATGTATTAAGCATTTCTCATGAACAATTTTTTAGGCTTCCTGGCAGATATGTATTTATAAATATAAGAATCGTATTTATCAATATAGGAATTGTATGCATTATAAATATATATTATCCTTGAGAAATTTCCCTGGCTTCCCTGTGGCTGTATATATCGCAATGTGGTTTGGATATTATAAACTTCCATACTGTATACATGACTGTTATTTTTATAACATGCATGAGTAGATTACAAGAGTATATAGGTAAACTCTTGTATGATATTGTGCTTAGTAAGTTAACACAGTTTTGTTTATATTGTTAGGCTTTCAGTACACTGTCTTTCCCTTGCTTTGGGGGATTTATAATGAAGATATCTGGAGCTGTAGCCACACCAATTCTTAGTCCTTCTATAATATCAAAAACCTTTGGAAGGAAAGTGACTGCATATAATCTTTTCATATTTGTTATACATTCTTTGAGAATAAAAAAGCTTATCAAACACATGAATGGCATAACTGAGAGTGCAAACTGTCTTTTGATGACTCCTCAGGCTATTACTGAAAACATACATACCACAGCAACATGAATAAGAAGGAAAAAATGTGGTGTTAAGATAAATAATTATTCAGGGACTCCTATCTTGATTTTTCATCTCAACATATATGTGCTTTGAAGCCAGAGGAATACTAGCGTCACTGATGCTTGAATTGCACCAAATGTTGAAATATGTATCTAGAAATACAAGGACAGGGTGTTTTAACATTTCATTGTCTGCTTTCCTTCTCATAACTTATATGTAAAGTTGGGTGCATCTCATGTACAGCTGCAGGTGAGAGCTAGTAAGATGACCAATAACAAGAATGAACAACAACAACAAAGAGCTGCTGTGTGAATTTAGGCTCTGCTGTCATCTTGCTGTTTCTAGAATCTCTTCCTGAATAGTTTCTTGAGTAGAAATCGGTCTTTTTCCATTACTACTAATCCCAGTATTGACAAAACAAAGTAAGTTTGTTCACCTCAGACTTCACATATGTACAAGACAAGGCTATACCAATGTCCAACTGATATTACTAAGATCCCATTATACCAGTCCAGGTACCCTGGATTGTGCTTTGCAGAATGGAAAAGATCCTAAACATACCAATCAAGTTCAAAGGGCTCGTTGGAGGATAGCACTTATAAGTAGCAAACTGGGGCTTTTGAAGACGTAGTTAGAAAGGAGTTAGACTGAGCAGTCAAAAATATCTCAGAATCAGTGGTGATGAACTGAGTGTGTCCTTAACTCAAATGGTTAGAGCTATATTCCTTGCATGGACTGAAATTATGTCCCTAAATTAATGTAATATATTCAGAAGGGCATTTCATGAATCTGGTTATGCCAGGAGTTGCTCAAAGTGTAGCATCTTGGGGACCCTTCAGTTGTATAGCTTGAAGCAGCTATCTAATTTAATGTGTATGATAGAACACTTTCTTATAGAAGAACCAGGCAAATACAGGTTTTTTCCCCCACAATCTGTGCAGCTTCAGTCAATCCCTGCTTTCATCTGTGGGCTGAGATACAGATATGTTGCGTAATCATGTTCTGTCAATTCAATTCTGATTTATGGCAACCCTTTTCAAAGTTTTCCAGGTAGAGAATACTCAGAAGTTCTTTACCATTCCCTTCTTCTGGGGGCACCCTAGGCCTGTATAACTTGCCCATGGCCACACAGGCTGGCTTTCTTCCAAGGAGGCACAATGTGGAATTGAACTGCCGACCTCAGCCTCTGAAGCCAGATACCTAAACTACTGAGCTATTGCTTTTGCAGGAGGAACTCATATGATTGACTGGGCAGGTTTGCAACACGTTTTGATCTATGTATGAGAGCAGGACTTTGTACTGCATAGTTCAACTGCAGCAGACCAAGAACCAGTGCAAACCTGAACTGATTTGGGGGCAAAGGCATCATTTTTGCAACACATTACTGATCAGTGATTTAAAGAATTATGATCTTTGTTGATTTAATTTTCAGGGTTGCCACTTTCTGGAAAATCAGTGGAAATGTATGTGATTGCACCATTCATCTGAGGAACAGAATTTATTTTTGAAATATTACTAAAATATTAATTTCTTTTACATACTTTAAAGTTTATGGTCGTCTTTTGTTCATCTGCTCATGAATCTTAAATTCAGTAAATAAATCACTGCAGAATGAATTGTTATGCCTTGTTTATATGAGCCATTTTGGTACCTTTCTTTGTTTTCTATCTATTCTCATTTGTCTATTAGTATTACAGTGTAAGCTTTACACTGATTTGCAGATTAGTTTGCATAATCTAAAACTGAATAGTGTATATTGCAGAGCCCCCTTATTTGTTGGTTTGCTTGTTTGTTTCAATTTGTTTCTTAGGGTTAAATTTCTTTACCGTTGAAAAGTGTTCTTATTTGAACTGTTTGCTTTGACATGCCTTTGACTGATTTATTGTTTAAATAAAAAGCAGGAAAATTACAGAAATTTCATTTCACAACTAGTGAATGAAAAATAATTTTATTGACATTTCTTGGATTTTAAATTTATGGAGGGATAGGTACAAAGTCTCTTCTCTTTGTTTCAAAGTATACAGGGAAGAGACCCCCAAGTGCATTATGTTCTTGCACCTGTCTTGTGAGGCAGGTCATTTTGAAGAAAAGTGAATTACATAGTGCTATTCAGCAAACTTTGTTGACTGAGCAGCGTTTTGTAGCTTGGGTGTCCTATATTTTTGCCAGGACTCTATTATTTGCACCATTTATCTGTCCATTGTACACAAGTGTTTTGTTACATACTTAGACACCTTGAGTCTGCTGGAATGCTAAAAGTTATATTGTCTGTTCATTCCTTTCTTTCAGCTGAAGTGCTACCATAAAAAATATCGATCTGCCATTCGTGATATCATTTTCCTCCTGCAGTTCCACACAGGTGCAGTTCAGGGTTATGGTCTGGTGTTTGGCAAAGAGGATCTGGATAATGCAAACAAAGGCAAGCTTCTTTCTGCTATTGGAAGTGGGAAAGGAGTAAAGTTCAGGGATGTCTAGCTTCTGAAATCTTGGCATCACTTTATTCTTCAGAAGGTAGACGAGTAATCAGCACAAGAGCTAAGAAATAATCGTAGAGCTGGGTCATTGAGTCTGGCCCTTATCACGGAGGCACAGTGGGCAACTGAACTCCCATTCTCAGACTGTGGTAGCGCAGTGATTTAGTTATTTGGCTGTGACCTAAACCACTGAGCTATCCAGCATGTATTGTGTTCATTATCTTGGGTGGACCAGTATTAGCGAATACTGTCAAAATTCAATCTGTAAAAAATAGTGTTTCATCAGTAATTTTACCTTCAGTTTTACTCATTAAAAACATTAGTTTGGATATGCCATTCCCCAGAGTAAATGTGAATCCATATTCTTTGTCCCCTAAGATAAAGGACTCTATACCCCATTTTCAAAGCTAGATTTATAATATGTAGTCCCTCCTCACTCTATAAATGCATTTGGATTATAATGCCCTGAAGCTATATTTGGCTGTGTTGTCTAGGGCTTGTGGGTGTTAGGGTCCAAATGCACTTATAGAGCCATGTATAGGCTGTCTACCTATCCAGATGTATATACTCCTCATTTCCTTTAAGGAGGAGGATTATGGGGTAATATATATCTTCTGCAAAGAGAATGAAGTTAACATTTTAATTGACATATTAATAACAGGGGTAACAGGTCAAACATACTCAATTTTCAAGTTAAAGCAGCAATCTAATTTCGCATATTCCAAAACTGAACTTTAATTAATTTCTAAACCTAAAATTCCAGTGTTATGATAAAACATAGCACTTTCTTATGCTGTGTAGTTAAGACAATGTATAAAGAAACCTAACCTTGACCAGAATCCTATTGGTGTTCATTTAAAGTTTGCTGTGGCGAATTATGGTTAATGGATGAGGTCTCATATGCATGCCTGGTCACACACCTGATTGTAGAACTGAGATGCACTTAAGCATATTATGAGTTTGCTGTAATTAGTGATGGCAAGTCAGGCAAACCTTACACAAACCATAATAGGATTCCTGCCATAGCTTTGTGTGAATAAATGTCCAGAATCTTATCCCTTATGTAAACCACCATAAATCGATTTAAATCTGAGTGGTGAACTCTGCTAGTTAAGGACTCCACATTTGTGTTCCTCATTGCACACCAAGGAAGCTTTGTCTCCTTAACTAGTGGGAAATCACTAGTTGTTTGTTCTGCACTCCAACATGTGTAAGTACAGTAACAAGATTCTGGCCCATATATATAATTACATATCACAAGGAACTCTAAGAGCCTCTAGTATAATGTCAGTATTCTTTTCAGATTGAAAACAACTTGATTGGGCCTCTGGATGTCAATTAGAATTCCTCCAGTGACTACTTACTGCTGGAGCATGGGCTGGAAGCAGGCAATAATTTTTATGCACTGAATGACCATGTTTGCTTGTGGTTTTATATAATTCCTTTTGTTCCACTGCATCTCTGGGCAAACAGATGTGTTGAGTCCTTGATCCAAATTTGCATGTGCAGAGCCCTAAAATTTGTTCCTTCAGATATTCAGGAAGATCTTGGAACTGTTGAAAATTGGGGGATGGTATTACTTCGTGTAGACCACTATTCCTCAACCTGGTCCCTGGTAAATATATTGGACAACAGCTCCCACTGTGCCTGAAAAAGCCATGCAAGCTGAAATTTTGTAATCTAATACATTTAGAACATTCTACTTTAGAAAAAACTGCTGAGTTAGGGGGACTGACTAGACTGACTCAACATATGACAAGTGCCTGTGTTATACTTGCCATTCAGACATTTTGAGAATAATTGCCTCCTTCAAAGGGAAAAGGTAACCACAAGCTTCTGCAGATAATGTGAAAAAGCCATGCAAGCTGAAATTTTGTAATCTAATACATTTAGAACATTCTACTTTAGAAAAAACTGCTGAGTTAGGGGGACTGACTAGACTGACTCAACATATGACAAGTGCCTGTGTTATACTTGCCATTCAGACATTTTGAGAATAATTGCCTCCTTCAAAGGGAAAAGGTAACCACAAGCTTCTGCAGATAATGTGTGTGTTTTTTTTTAATGTTTTGTGGTGTTGGCTGGGTGTTGCTGCCACTGTTTGTTTTAAGAAAAAATATTATAGCCATTTTTCAATTTTTAAAATCCTTCTGCATTTGGGTAAAAATAGTGGGCATTTTTGTAAGGCTGCAGGGCAAATTGGAATTTGAAAGGAGATAAGATATTGCAGTCACCCTATCCTGCAATCTTGATTTCTTTTTCTGATCTTAGTTCCCTGGGAACTAAATTTTCTGTAACAGATTGTACTACCTTTCCTTTTCAGATGACAGATTCCCTGTCTGTGGAAAGGTTGAACTGGTTTTTTCAGGATCCCCAGGAAAAATCCAAGGTGAGTATTCTGTATAAAAATGTATTTTATACATTTGATCATATATATGTTTACTTCAAAGTTAACTCCATCTCAGTGGGCTTACTTGGCCTCAGTGCACTGTGGTGAGATATTATACTCCATGGAACTTAGTATCCTCACCCATAATCCTTCTGGGTACTCATTTCTGCCTGCAGAGACTCTCCCCTTGCATTGTCCTTCAGGAGCAAATTTTTGGAGGGTGAAGATTTTCAGTAAGAAGAGGAGGTGAAAAATTCTTTTATGCATGACTGGAAGCAGAGATGTGGGGAAGTAAACTATTTGGATTATGTAGCTGAGAAAAGTCCAGGCATCAGGGCCAGTGGCTGGGTTATTCTGGGAGTTAGAATCTCCAAAGCTTCATGATCTCTAAGTAGAAGTACATACTTGGCCCTGTGGACCTTAGATTTAGTGTGCAATATACTGATTTAACTTAGAAATTACAATTCCTTTTAAAAATCACACATACAAACAGTATTTGTAATCAGCATGAGCTCTCCATTTACCCCTTGGACTTGGATTTTATTAAAAAAGACTAAACAGAAGGCTGTTTATTTGTGCTCCTGTTATATTTCAAAGTGACATGAGATTTTTTTCTACTCTGAGGGGGTGAAATCCTAAGCTTACATCACAGCTATGTGAAGGTAAATCATTTAAGAAATCTGGAAGCATCCAGGTGACAAATTTTGGGGAAACAGAATCACCAGAAAATGCCAGCTCTTCATGAGCCAGTACTAGAAAACAATAAATACAAAACTGAGGATTTTCATGTCTATTTCATTTCTGTCACCTATTTAACTAATTATTTCTGTGCTTTCCCTTTTCTGTGCCCTTTTCTCATACTGAGTCCACTGGTTCTGGTAGTATAGAGGCTTTTGCTTAGTTGTCAAGTTTAAAGTGAGTCGGAGGGATTTAGTTTTGAGAGAGAATTTTTAAAAAGAGCTTTGGAGAGAGAATTCGTTTTAGACAAATGATTATCCAATTCTCAAAAAAAAGTGCCCACATCCTGTGAATATTCTTGATGAACTCTAACAATTATTTCTAATTTTCCGGCTTACCAGTTCTCAGCCTACTCTAAGGGAGATTCTCAAACTTACTGATGCACAGCTTTGAACTCTCTCCCAAGCTAACTCTAAATCTCTGTCAGTTTTCTGACTGTCTAAATAACATTCTTTTGAACTACCGTAACTCTCAAACCAAGGGCTAAAACAAACATTTCAAAGAAATGTGTGTTTCCTTCTCTTTCAAGCTCTTCTCTCCAATGACAAATCTCCCATTATACATGTTTCTGCAAATAGATTTGCAAAGGAAGTTCATGTTTACATTCTAATGAACAGTTGCACTTCTGCTTTTAATTTGCTTTTACAATCATCTTTTACAATCTTCTAGGGTATGGATTCCAGGTGTCTCATCTAGTGAGGCCCTAGCTCCCCAAAACTGTCTGAAATTCAGGCTAATGCTGTCCCAAAGTTAGTTAATGTTTGTCAAGAGAACTAGTGTACAACTAGTGAATATAAAAAACAATCTGTGTGATCTATTTTTAGAAACAAGGTTCAGGGTTAGGCAGTATGCAGAAGTGATATGTCTCTGTATAAGCGTTACTCAGGAATGCCACATGGGAGGGTGCAGTTGCACTCTGGTCTTACTGGTGAACTTCCCTTGGGCAGCTTGGTGCCCACTGTGTGGACAGGATGTGGGGGTAGCCAAGCCTTTGGTCTGGTCTGTCATGGTTCTTCTGGTGTTCTTACTTAAAAGGTGGGCATGTAGAGTTGGAGGGTTGTTTAGAGACTTAAAGAGGGAAGGAGATCAAAAAATAATATGAAGTGATACTATTTGAATGTGGTATCTCCCTCCAGCATACTCTCTAATTTTCATCCCCGCTGGGTGAGGCTCTGTCTCTCTCACACACGACTTTGCCCCTGCATGCACACAAGACTCCGAGCCCCCACAGGGTTCCATCGCGACTGGGACCTCACACAATCACTGTGTAGAGGATGAAGAGAGCTGGGCACAAGGAGGCAGAGATGCACAAGCACGTCCATGTCTCCCTCACTACCCTATTTGTTCCTATGAAAGGTGGGGGTGTTAAATTAAAAGCAGAAGACCCACAGTTTACTACAAATTACTACTTCTTTAGTTTCTCATCCCAGTGAGTTGATAAGAGAGTTGATAAGTCATAGAAGCTGCTTTATACTGTGTACAGCCATTGGTCTATCCAGATGGGAGTTATGTATACCAGGGCTGGGGCAAAATGCAGTTACTAATTCAGTTCCCATCTGCCCTATCCAATATGGCCATCATGCAATAATGATGAGAGATGCAGTCCTACAACTTCCAGAATTTTGCAGGTTTTTTTTCCAGAATTTTGCAGTCAGGCCATGACTGATCTACTTGGATTATCAATGGCTGTCTAAAGTTCTGGGAAAGAATATTTCTGCGCCACTAACTGGAACTGCTGTAGATTGAGCCTAGACTTTTCTGTATGCAAGGCATGGCATCTGCTACTGAATTGTTGCCTTTGTCCAAGTTTTTACGAGACTCCTTTTCAGTTTTATCATAGCAGAGAGAGGGCTGTGGACTCTGTGGAACCCTCAGCTTGGATGAGGGTTCTCTTTAAAATGAAATACCAACTTCTCTGGTGCTTGCCCAGTGAACTGGTATGGAGATTTTGCCATAGATACTTGTGTGACACAGATTGGAGAAAGAACAGAAGGGAGGTTAGTATTCACCAACACACACAGTCCTAATGGCCATTTGCCATTTTGAAAACTAATCCAAATGTGTGAAAAATTTGTAGCGGGGAGGAGGATTGTAATCAAATGCTTCCCCACACCAAATGTGCTTACTTGTATAAAATAAGCTGTTCTGGGAGAAAGATTTGAGCCTTTCCACTGAAGGGCTAGTTTTTCCATATTCAGAGAGCTGTTTGAAGCAGCACAATTCTGAACAATCACATAGATCTTACTCTTGCTGAATAGGAAAGGAGAAGAAACTCAGGGAAGTATTTTGTCCAAACAATTTTAGTGAATCCATGATACTGTAATATTTCAGGATGTGAAAATCTACGGAATGACCATGGTGTGATAGTGGATTACAACACTTCAGATCCATTGATCCGCTGGGATTCGTATGAAAACATGAATTCTGATGGGGAAGGTGAGTGCTGCTGGGATATAAAGGTGATGAGTTTGTTTCACAGGAAGTGTGGCTGTGATTCATACTAAATTTCATGCAAATACCTTTAGTGTCTAATATTGTCCTTTAGATGCTGAAGGCAGACACATACATTGTGTATGACTTGTGTCATGTTTAAGCAGCAGAAGACTTAACACACCTTGTTTTCATCCTCCCAAAAGCCAAATATTCAAATGTGTGTGCTCCTCTTTTCCTAGAGGAAAGGACATTCAGGGCAATTTCATAGAATCATAGAAAAGTGAAGTTGGAAGGGCCCTACAAGGCCACCAAGTCCAACCCATGCTCAATGCAGGAATATTATCAAAGCATATCTGCCAAGTGATTAAGTTTTTCCTTAATGCCTCCAGTGTTGGGGAACTCACCCAACACACAAGGTAACTGTTTCCACTGCTGTACTGTTTTTACAGTTAGGAGTTTTTCCTGGTATTCAAGTGAAATCTGGCTTCCTTTAACTTGAGCCCATTGTTGTGTGTCCTGCACTCTGGGATAATTGAGAACAGATCTTGCCCCTCCTCTGTATGACAGCCTTTCAGATATTTGAAAAGTGCTATTATATCACACATACACACCCAGTCTTTTCTCAAGGCTAAACATGCCCAGTTCCTTCAGTCTTTCCTCATAAGGCTTGGTTTCCCGCCCCCTGATCATCCTTATTGCCCTCCTCTGAACTTGTTCCAGTTTATTAGCATCGTTCTTGAAGTGTGGTGTCCAGAAAGGGTCACAATATTCAAGGTGAGGCCTAATCAGTGCTTAATAGAGGGAGACTATTACCTTGTGGGATTTGGAAACTACACTTCTTTTAATGGAGCCTAAAATGGCATTTGCCTTTTTTGTAGCCACATCACACGGCTGGCTCATATTTAGCTTGTGATCTATGACAATTCGAAGATCCTTCTTGTTTTTAGTTTTGCTGAGCCAGGTATCCCCCATCTTGTAACTGTGCAATTGGTTTCTTTTCCTGAGGTGCAATGCTTTGTGCTTATCCCTGTTGAATTTCATTCTTTTGTCTTCAACCCAGTGCTCCATCCTATCAAGGTCATTTTGAATTTTGTCTTCTGGGGTATCAGCTATTCTGCCCAATTCTGTATCATCTGCAAACTTGACAAGCATTCCCTGCAGTCCCTCGTCCAAGATATTAACAAAAATATGGAAGAGCACCAGGCCCAGGACTGGGCCTTGGGGTACCCACTTGTTACCTCCTCCCATTTAGAGAAGGATCCATTAATCATCATCCTCTGAGTACGATTCTGTAGCCAATTGTGTATCCACCTGACACTTCATCTATCCAGCCCACACCTGGTTAGCTTGCTAATCAGGATATCATGGGACACTAGATCTGCCTTGAGCTTTATTTGTCAGCTGTGCTTTGCCCGAAGTCAAGAATCAAATTTCCCCCAGCCCACTGAAAACATCCTGAACCTTGGTGTGAATGGCTCTAGAAAAGAACCAGGAGGATATGCATAATGCCTCTTCCACTAGACTAATGGTCATTTGCCCTTCAAAATTGATCAGCAAGAAGATCTGACCCTCCCACTAGGCTGCTAATTCTCAAATTTTGGTTCCTAGCTTGTATTGCAACTCTGTAGTGGAAAGCAAAACAAACAAAAAATCCTAGGTGTGTTTCCATTTATTTTGGACATCTTAGGGATATATTCCTTGTTTTTAGAGGTTAATACAAGCTAGTCTTTTAGCTTAACTTTAGCTTAACTTTTAAGTTATTTTGTGATAAGAATATTTCTTTACATGTTGAGCTTCTTTCCCAGTTGCAATGATAAGAGTATTTGTATTGGCTTCTTATGAGAGGAGACTTTCCTCCATGCCTTCCTGCTGAAGGGAGTTACTTGCCCGTTCTGCTTCCCCCCCTCTCTTCAGCTTCTAGTATATTCTGGAATGCAGGAAGATCTAGCCTATAAAATTCATAGTTAGCCTGCTCAGCCTTGGTCTTCATGCTTGAGTAAGGAACCAGCAAAGTGCCTAGGTACCGGCACTTTGTAAACCACTGCATTTAGGCAGTGTGGAATGGCCACCTCAAGAGTCAGAGCTCCAGGGGGCTGACCAATCACAGCCTCTGTCATTATGGCTTCCACTACCTTGTTGACTCCTCTTTGCAATGGTGAGTGCTGCTATCAAGAAGGAGTCAGATGGGCCATCAGGAACTGTAGTGGTTCTGTCTTTGCTTCTTCCCTCATTCCAGACAGACCTTTCACCTACGAGTTGTGAGAAAGGCTATAGTTGGGAAGTGGTTGGGTGGACTTTCCAGAGCCTCATGGAGTCCAAATGTCTTGCTGTGATGGGATTCTCTGGAGAAGGCAATGGGGGCAGAAGCCTTGGAGACTTATCTGTGACATAGTGTCACAGGCAGTCTAAATGACCTGGTCTGATATGCTTGCTTGTTAGAGATGTGCTTATTTTCCATGCCAACTGTGCCATCCTCTGAGAAAGAACCTTTCATAGTGAATCATTTGGAATTGGGGAGGGAGGAGCCTGGGGAAAGTTGGGAGGGAAAAGAGACAATAGTGATGTGGCAACAGCAATGGAGGCAATGCATGTTCTCTAATCTCTGACAGTAGGACACCATCTTCTGCTATTCCTACATAAAGAGACTACTTCAGTATGATAGTTATTTTGTTCTCAGAACATTTTACTGTCTTGACATTGGTCCAAATCCTCTTACATATGCTGGTGTAGCACAAAAGCATAACTCTTTGAGACAAACTGTCCCAAATTAAGAAATGATCACAGACATTATCAGTTGCATACTGAGTTGTATGACCCAGTTTTCAACTGATAATGTCTAAGGTGATTTTTAAAACTGAGACAATTTACCTCAAAAAGTCATACCATTTGTGTGGTGACATAAGAGGTTTTTGGCTGTCATTTTAACAACCACCAATGCTATGAAATAGGAAGGATGGGATGAAGTGTGGGGAGAGAATCAGCAGAAATTCTTGGAGGCAGTGGGAGCTGCTTTTGTACAAGTGGAAGTGCTTTTTCACCTGTTCTAGATATCTTTTTTTTTTTAAAAAAAAAATTTTTTAACATAAGGGATGACAGAAAGGAAAAGGGGAATTGGAATTTATGAGGAAGAGGGGAGACAATAATATCCTTCCATCCATTCTATACCTATTGCCATATCAAGATTTTAAGTTATTCTGTTTACTCTTTTCTGCCTTCTAGATTGAGTACTCATTTCATTATATGCTATTCACAAGCTGCCTGTTGATTCAATCCACTTGTTAAATAGATGCCATCTTTCTGTTGCCTTTTGCAAGGGATATCTTTTGAGTGTAACCCACTGTGCACAAAAATACGAGAAAATGAATCTTGTTTAGCTGGCTAAACTCTTCATGTTGCTCATTTTGCCCTGATTAAAGCATTCCATTTTAACAAATTGTTTATAAATTGAGGAGAAAATATTATGAACCTAAACTTATAGAAGGGAAGAAACTGAACACGAGTGTACTATATTAATGCATGGAGAACCCTCTGGGCTTCAAAATAGAAATGAAAATAAAAGTAATAAAATTCTGTACTGAACACAAATCTTGAGTAAAAATTTTGCAGTGAGTATCATTGTAATTAAAAATGTTGCAACCAGTATAAACTGCAGAGTTTTAAGCTGCCTTGCATAATTTGTTTTGTTTCTGTCAGTAGTGGGGAGTGGCAAAGAATGTATAATTATAAGTTTATTACTTCATTTTAAAAGGAGGCTGGAATTGTTTAGAAAAAGAAGTTGAATACTGTGTTGTGTTTAAATCTTGAGCAGAATTGTAGTACATCTGTGATCTTGGTCAAATATTTTTCAGTGGTGCTTGAAAATTCAGCAGCAACTCATGAAAAAAAATGTGCAGGTGAAATAACGTTTGCACTTAAAACGAAAGCTCCATTCTAGCATAAGCAGTGAGAAAGTGGTATAGTTGGCCCGGGTGGGTCAGAAAACATTTGGTGCAGCTAAAAGTATTCTGAATTTATATGCCAATAATCAAAGCTTTAGAAATTGTACCTTATGCTCATTTGAATTTTTGGAAGTATAGCCAGGTGAGCATTGGCTGTCTTTAAGGAATTTACTCTTGAGAAAATAATTTCATTTTTTTTCTGGGATGTTTTTCCGCCTTACTTTTCCTTAACTGAAAGCTGTTGAATAGGGAGGTGCCCTCTTGCATAGTTAAATACTTGTTTTCCCAGAGGGCTGCTCAAGTATTACAAAACTCTTGGTTTGAAACAAAACTCTTGTGGCTCTGGTGCCTCAGAAGGAATGCAAATGCTTACCAACAAAAACAGCCAGTTCAGTACCGTTTCTGGTAAGTGAAGCTGAAGTATACATCGGGAATGACCAAATTAACTTGAGGTTTTGATCCTTAAACTATATGTTCTTTAGAAAGAACATGTCTGAGAGGGGAGAGGGAGACAGAAATTTGGAAGAAAAAATAAAAGTCTATTTTTAAATCCCAAATACTGTGTACCACTGCATCTTCCCCTCTGCTTTTATTTGGCCACCAAAGCAAAAACACTTAATTGTGGAATTTTACATTGTCACTTTGGAAGGAAGCCTTCTGTCTTTTCTCTCGGTCGTACTATCTTGCATGGAAAGATTTTAATTTGTATCCCTTTTTAGTCTGCATCCTTTCAGCTGTAACAAAGATTAAAATAATTGCCCTTGACTTCTTGCTTTGTATTATTTTTATAGGATATATATTCATCCTATAACAATAATACAAAGCAAGAAGTCAAGGGCAATTATTTTAGTCTTTGTTACAGCTGAAGGGATACAGATAAAATGAAATCTGCCTGACTTCTACATGCATGCTTTTTGTTAAGTTTTTTTCACAGTGTTTTAAAAATGGTTGTTGTGGGTTTTTCGGCCTTCTTGGCCGTGTTCTGAAAGTGGTTCTTCCTAACGTTTCGCCAGTCTCTGTGGCCGGCATCTTCAGAGGACAGCAAACTGTGCTGTGTTTTAAAAA